GACTCTCAGATATGAAGTGCATGTCCCAAATTTATTTTTTAGCACCAAAAAAATTTGAATTTGTCAAACTAATGTCACAGCAGTATTTAAAAATGCCTAGATGTTGCCCACTGAGTTACCAGAACAGGATTAAAGTAATGTGCCTGGCACACATGCAGTTGCAAGTGCCCACCTAACAAACAGACTGATTGCTTATTTCTCTGTGGCACTGGGCTCAGGACAGTGTCCAAAAAGGCAATATAGCACCCACAAAAATAATCGCTGTAGTTTGCAGATTCAACACCAGAATTCTTTCCTAAGCTGTCCCTCACAGCTACAGCATCCTCTCCCTACACTAATAAGACCTCATGTGACTCCAGTTTATATAGAGGCTGGGTCACATGCTGCACTGGCCAATCACAGCCATGCCATTAGTAGGCATGGCTGTGATGGCTTCTAAGGGCACACGAGTCAAACGCTTGTTGATTGGCACGCCATTAAATCACCGAACACGAACCCGAACTGTTACTGAAATGTCCGTGTTCTGGTTCGGGGTCCAAAAATCGTAATGTTCGGTACGAACTCGAACTTTACATTTAGGGTTCACTCAGCTCTAGTGTCATTTTTTAATATGAAATCTCTTTCAAGTATATTAACCCTTTTTTAAAAAAAAATTTACTTCCTCGTATATATATTTTTTCTTCATTTAAATGTATATTTATACCACGAATCAAAGAATAGAGAGAAGAAGCAAAAGGGTAAACCTTTAAGTAGGTGAACCCTTGTGAAAGCCGAGTAACCCAGATAAAACGTAACTTTTAATTAATATAGTGTAAAAAATTGAATATAATAAATAATAAGAATGAGCAGAGTCAATATAGCTTATGCTTAAATAGGAGTAAATAAAGCTCCTAAATAACATAAGGAAAAAATAAAATAATAAAGAAATGTAACCCTATTACTTAGATAAAGAAATAACAGAAATAAATAAATAAATAAATAATAAAAATTCAATAATATCACTCTGTGAGTCAGTGGTAGTAAGAAGCAAAAGGAAATACTGCAAAAAGTAGATACAAAATAACAGCAAATGTAACTGCAAGCAAAAGATACAAATGTTGCTAGTCTAATAAATAGAGAAGAGGGAAAAAGATAAATGTGATTTAAAATACTAGTAGAACAGCAAGCCCTGCAAAAGATCATATATATAGGCAGGAGAGAAAGCTAAAATTGGAGAGACTAGCTTCCCTACTCTGTTGTGCCTTCGAGGGCACCCCTTAAGTAGGGAAGCTAGTCTCTCCACTTTTAACTTTCTCTCCTGTATATATATATATATATATACATATATACATATATATATATACATATATACATACATACATACATACACAGGAGAGAAAGTTAAAAGTTTAATTTTTATTATTTATTTATTTATTTATTTATTTTATTTCTTTATCTAAGTAATAGGGTTACATTTCTTTATTATTTAATTTTTTCCTTATGTGATTTAGGAGCTTTATTTACTCCTATTTAAGCATAAGCTATATTGACTCTGCTCATTCTTATTATTTATTATTTTACACTTTTTCACACTATATTAAATAAAAGTTACATTTTATCTGGGTTACTCGGCTTTCAGGGTTACCTGGATTACCTACTTAAAGGTTCACCCTTTTGCTTCTTCTCTCTATTCTTCAATTAATTGATCCTGGGGTTATCCCCCCCTACCTCAAAGTAACCTGACACCCTCTCCCTGATAGGTTTTTTCTATCTCTATATTTCACCATATATTTATACCACTAATCAAGAGTTAAACATTTTTTAATCCCCCTCTTTAAATGCAGTGAGATTAAACACCTACTACACAGTGAAGAAACAAATATGAATTCTCTCCTGTTATATAAACTACATTTTGCACCTTAATCACCTTTCTTATATACCATCTTTTTATATATTATGTTTTACATATATTTTATATAATATATATATATATATATATATATATATATATATTTCTTTTTATTAAGTCTCTTAGATTATGTATTCTAATGTATATTCTTTCTAGTAATTAAGAATATTTTTTAACCCTCCCCTTCAAATGCAGAGATATAAAGCACCTAGTACATAGTGAACAAAAACAAATTATCTCCAGTTATATACACCAATATCTACATCTGAACCAAAGACTCATAATGACAATAATACTATAAGTAGTCAGTGAGGAGAATACATTTTTTTACTGTGCAGTAAAGGAATGTTGCAAATAGAGTGATATTTAAATAACAAAAGTAAAATTAAAAACTTTCTTATCTTTTTAAAATATAGCTTTCTCTGTTATACAGACAGTCCTGTATACTATAAGATTACCCAAACAATATGCATGATATATAAGAATGTAGATACTTTACTTCTTGTGTAAGATTATCCACACAATGTGTATTAAACAGAAGACTGTTGATTAGAGATGAGCGAATCCGAACTGTAAAGTTCGGGTTCGTACCAAACATTAAAATGTTTTGACCCCGAACCTGAGCCCGGACTTTTTAGTAACAGTTCGGGTTAGAGTTCGGTGTTCGCCGATTTAATGGTGCGTTTTGAAAAGCTGAATTGTGGGTGCTATAATACATTTTTGTACCCTGCCCTGAGCCCAGAGAAATAAGCAATCAGTCTGTTTGTTAGGTAGGCACTTGCAACCGCATGTGTGCCAGGCACATTACTGTAATCCTGTTCTGGTAGCTCAGTGGGCAACATCTAGGCATTTTTAAATACTGTGGTTACATCTCAGTTTGAAAAATTCAAATTTTTTTGATGCTAAATATTACATTTGCTGCCTACGGTGTACTTCATATCTGAGAGTCAAATAGAACCGTCAAATACTGTGGTTACAGCGCACTTTTAAAAATTCACATTTTATTGGTGCTAAATAGTAAATTTTCTGCCTGCGGTGCACTTCATATCTGAGAGTCAAATAGAACCGTCAAATACTGTGGTTACATCGCACTTAGAAAATGTTTTATTTTGTGGGTGCTAAATAGTACATTTGAGGCCTGTGGTGCTTTCATATCTGAGAGTCAAATAGAACCGTCAAATTCAAATTTAAACCATCTGTTAGTTTGGTGGGTAAAGGCAAAGAATGAGGAGAGCGTCAAATAAGGGCCGTGGTCGTGGTGCTGCTGGTGTTGGTGGAGCTCCTGTTGCAGGGAGAGGACATGGTCAATCTGTGCCAGCTACACACACAAGTGAAACACCTTCCTCAGGTGCGAGTAGGCGACAGAGCCTTCAGCGTTATTTGGTATGCCCGAATGCCGCTCTACGAATAGTAGAGCAATACAGGCGTTAGTAGACTGGATGGCTGACAGTGCCTCCAGTTCCTTCACATTGTCTCCCACCCGGTCCCCTGCTGAAAGCTCTGAGTTGGCACCTGCAGCCCATGGCCATCTGTCTTTAACTTCAGCCCCTTGCAAATCAGCCAAGCAGTCTGAGCCACAAGTCACGTAGCAGTCTCTTATGCTTTTTGATGACTCTGCTGGTGGGGTTTCCATGGGCCATCCACCTAGCCCTGCCCCAGAAGTGGAAGAGATTGAGTGCACAGATGCACAACCACTTATGTGACAGGATGTGGACATGTGAGGACCACTGCAGCACATCTCTGATGATGAGGAAACACAGGTGCCAACTGCTGTGGCTTTCTGCAGTTTGCAGACCGGCAAGGAGGGCAGGGTTGAGGAGTGGATGGAAGATGATGCACGAGCTTCAGTGGAGTAAGCACCTCAAAAACCAAGAAAGGTCTCAGGCTCCTCCTGCTTCCTCTTCTGCTGCTGTCTCGGTCTCTTCCTCCACCTCTGTAGTCACAGTGGCACCTGCAACCCAGCAAACAGAGGATGTGGCAGCAACGCCACCACATCCACCACCGTCCCCAAGCATCTCCACACTGTCCCATGGAAGCGTTCAGCTGTCCATCTCCCAAACACTGGAGAGAAAGAGGAAGTACCCCCCCTACCCACCCGCGATACCTGGCCCTGAATGCCAGCATTTCAAAATTCCTGGCCTTTGAAATGCTGTCATTCAGTCTGGTGGAGATAGACAGTTTTAAAAACCTGATGGCGGTGGCTGTCCCACAGTACGTGGTTCCCAGCTGCCACTACTTTTCCAGACGAGCCATCCCTTCCCTGCACAATCAATTGCCGGACAAAATCAGGTGTGCACTGCGCAACGCCATCTGTGGCAAGGTCCGCATAATCACTGATACGTGGATCAGTAAGCACGGGCAGGGACGCTATATCTCCCTAACTGCACACTGGGCAAATGTAGTGGCGGCTGGGCCTGAGGCGGATAGCAGTTTGGCGCATGTCCTTCCGCCATGAGGATTGCAGGTCATTTCTCTTTGCCTCCTGTTGCCTCCTCCTCCTACTCTGCTTTCTCCTCCTCTACTACCTCCTCATCCGGTCAGCGTAACACTTTCACCACCAACTTCAGCACAGCCAGGGGCAAACGACAGCAGGCTGTTTTAAAACTCATATGTTTGGGGGAAAAACCCCACAACGTGCAGGAGCTGTGGACGGGCATGGAACAACAGACCGATGAGTGTTTGTTGCCACTGAGCCTCAAGCTCGGCATGGTGTTCTGCGATAATAGGCGAAATCTCATAGCAGCTCTGGGCCTAGCTGGTTTGACTCACATCCCTTGCCTGGCGCACGTGCTGAATTTGGTGGTGCAGAAATTCCTGAAAAACTACCCAGAGCTGCTGCAGAAAGTGTGGGGCGTCTGTGCGCGCTTTCGGCGTTCTCACCCTGCTGCTGCTCGCCTGTCTGCGCTGCAGCTAAATTTCGGCCTACCCGCTCACCGCCTCATATGCGACGTGCCTACAAGGTGGAACTCCACCTTGCATGCTGGAGAGACTGTGCGAGCAGCAGCAGGCGATAGTGGAGTTTCAGCTGCAGCACGCATGGGTCAGTCGCTCTGCATCAGACTTGCCCTCCAATAGATCCTCATTAAAGGATTTAAAGTGTACTCATTCCAATTACAGGGCCTCAAAAGAGTCCTTTATTGTTATTTTTCATCACTACCTCCCCGCGTCGGGAGTGGGTAATTTGCGTGAATGTTGCCTTCTTTGGATGTGGTAGCCATTTCTCAGGCTCCCTCTCCGGATTCGAACCCTGATTCCCCGTTGCCCATGGTCACCATGGTAGGTGCAGAAAGTACCATAGGTCAGACCAGGGCCGGACTGGGAAAAAAATTAGGCCCGGGCATTTTTCAATTAGAGCGGCCCCCAAAAAAGGGGGAGGGCCAGAGAAAGTGAGCATGTTGGTTCAATGCGCAGAGCCCCGCTGAAGAGCTCTAGCATTAGAAAAAGGCCCTGTATTTGTTCTGCGCAGTGCAAGCAAATGTAAGAACATGCTTGCGCTGTGTTTGCTTTTAAATTGTCTCTGGTGTCTCCACAAGTGGGATACCAGAGGACAAAAGGGCCAGGAAAGTGTATGGTGCATGTGTTTGGCGCATGCTTGTGGGATTGCCTGTGTGTAGAGTGTGGTGTTGTATTGTGTAAATAGGTCAATTTTGTGGTGTAATATGTGTGGCTAGGGGCTGTAGAGAGTGCGTGTATAGGGGCATAGTGTTATAGGGGATGTAGCGAGTGTGTGCATACGGGCAGTAGTGTGTGTGTATAGGTGACGTAGTGTGTGTCACTTATACACACACACTACTGTGTGTAGAGAGGGTGTGTTTAGAGAATGTTGTATGTGTTTGCTTACAAGGAATGTAGTGTGTGTGTAGGTGGTGCAGTGTGTGTGTAAGAGATCTAGTGTGTAAAGGACCCAGAGTGTGTATAGAAGATTGTGTGTGTGTAGAGGATTAAGAGTGCATATAGGGTAAGGGATCTAGCGTGTATCTGGAGCGTAATGTGTGTAGTGGTGCAGTGTGAGGGGTGCTGTAGTGTGTGTGTGTATATATATATATATACATATATATATATAGCAAAAAAACAGGATTGGCACTCTCCTTTAAGTAATAAGAAAGAACTAATAGCCTGGGTGCTATATGCCAAATGTCAGAAATATACGGCAGAAAATATACAGAAATATATTATATATACAAAAATCAAAACTGAGGATGCACTCACAGGACTTGGTTAAAGTGAAAAAAGGGACATGGAAGGGACTTCCATGTGAAATAATTAAAAGTCCCTTTTTTTCACTTTAACCAAGTCCTGCGAGTGCATCTTCAGTTTTGATTTTTGTATATATATATAAAATATATTTGGACGTATTGTATGTGTGAGGTGCGCAGCGTGTTTGTGTAAGAGGGGTGCTGTGTGTGAGGGTGTTTTTATCTGCCGTCACATTCCGGGTTTCTAATTTTATTTGTCTGTTAACTCACTGAGGGTTATTTTATATAATATATATGTGCTGTATATGTGTAGGAGTGAGGGTGCTGTCTGTCTGAGGGTGTTGTGTGCGTCTGGGGGTGCGCTGTGTGTGTCTGTGGGGTGCTGTGTGTGTCTGGGTGCTGTGTGTGTCGGGGGGGCTGTGTTTGTCTGGGGGCTGTGTGTGTCTGTGGGGTGCTGTGTGTCTGTGGGGTGCTGTGTGTGTCTGGGGCTGTGTGTCTGGGGGGCTGCTGTGTGTGTCTGTGGGGTGCTGTGTGTGTCTGTGGGGTGCTGTGTGTGTCTGGGGGGCTGTGTGTGTCTGGGGGGTGATGTGTGTGTCTGTGGGGTGATGTGTGTGTCTGTGGGGGCTGTGTGTGTCTGGGGGGCTGTTAGGGAAATTATTTTAAATATATATTTTTTATTTTATTAATAATTATAATGTTATTATAATTAATAATTATTAATAATTTTAAAAAAAAAGTTATGTCCCCCCCTCCCTTCTTACCTTTAGCCTGGGAGGGGGGAGATCCGTTCTGCGTGGGTGTGGGGAGCCGGGTATCCATGGAGGAGGGGGACCATGCTGTCTTCCCTGGTGGTCCAGTGGTGAGAGTGAACTCTAACCTGCGGGTTAGAGTTCACTCTCGCGAGATCTGAGCGTTGCTGCGGTAACCGCGGCAACGCTCAGAATCCCGCGAGAGGACCGGGCGGAGCTGCTAGCTAGAGCTCCGCCGGTCTTCTCCTCCCTCCCTCACCCAGCCGGCGGCCGCCTGTGACAGTGCCTGTGGGCCGGTGAGGGAGATCTGTGATCTCCCCACCGGCCCATGGAGGCACACAGCAGGGCCGGCGCTCGGATAGCGCTGGCCCTGCAGGGGCCGGTCGGGGAGATCCTGTGATCTCCCTGCCGGCCTCGGCCCCACGGCCATCGCGGCCCACCGGGCATTTGCCCGGTATGCCCGATGGCCAGTCCGGGCCTGGGTCAGACATCCGAATGCGTTGTCGCCGTCACTAGGTCACCAAAGTGCCTGCACAACGACTGCAGAGTTGCCCACATTCTAACTTGTGCTGATTACTGGGTGGCCACCCTGCAGGATCCCCATTACAAGGGCAACATGCCATCCTTAATTCCCTCACTGGAGCATGATCAGAAGATGCGCGTCTACAAGCACACGCTGGTAGACGCGCTGCTGAGGATATTCCCAACTGACACCAGGGGGCTCATTGGAAGCACAAGGCGAAGGCAGAGGAGGAGGAAGAGGTCGCCAGCGCAGCTGGGGCACCGCCAGCACCTCAGAAGGCAGGGTTAGCATGGCCGAAATGTGGAAAAGCTTTGTCAGCACGCCACAACAACCAGCACGACCAGCTGATATGGAACGTCTTAGCAGGAGGCAGCATTTCAGCAACATGGTGGTACAGTACGTGTGCACATGCCTACACGTTCTGACTGATGGGTCTTCCCCCTATCAATTTCTGGGTCTCCAAATTGGGCACATGGCCTGAGCTTGCCCTATATGCCTTGAAGTTGATGGCCTGCCCTGCAGCCAGTGTATTGTCTGAACGTGTGTTTAGCATGGCGGGGGCGCTATCACAGACAAGCGCAGCCACCTGTCCACAGCCAACGTGGACAAGCTCACGTTTATTAAAATGAACCAGGCATGGATCCCACCTTGTGCAGAATAGACATTTATACCAGCCTCACCTAGCCATTGTTATACTCAAGTGCACTTATTCTTTGTTTTCTTTTTTTAATATGTCACAATATTTTTCTTTGTTGTATATCACAAATAACCTGAGCCCGGCAAAAGAACCAGTCAATGGAATGGAACACATAAGCTGGACATGCCGAAACCGGAAGCGACGTACCGGCATGTAACATGGAAGGCACAGAATCAACAGGAGGCTTGACACAGGGCGTCTCCGTTACCATGGAGATTGCCCGCGAAAATTCGAGCCAGCAGCCCATTATTCCCTGATTGGAAAGGTACTTAAAGCAGGAAGAAATCCAAAGAAGATACAAAAAAAATTCCAGCTGAGGAAGCCTATTGGCGAAACGCGTTCTGGGAGAACAGTGAGCACTAAGACTATTTTTTGGACTTTAGCCGAATAAGTATTTTTTAACTATTGTTTTTTTTATATTATATGTTTTTTTAAAGTAATAAAGTATGTACTTGTGAAGAAATTCCCCTCTTTTGCTTTAAAACTGACAATTTGTATTCCCTGCTTTGATATTAGCTTTCCCTATGGCATTCGGTAGGTAAAACTACCGAATCAAGACCACCCTGTTGCCCATTATGCATACTTTACCTCCCTGCTTGCTGGGTTACGTTCGACAAGAGTTCTGCATGAACGGTATGCACTGCCGCCATTTTGGGACTTCCACGTGTTCGCTGCCATTTTAGCTCCCGAACAGCGGTGTTTGCTGTCGAGTGTCTGGAACTGAAAACAGACACTCAAATAGGCGAACACCGCTGAATCCTCCATACCTTCGGTAAAACCCCATTAAAACTACCGGGCGTTTGGTAGAAAGACTCACTAACAGATGGGGAATCAAGCGAACCAAGGATGGTAGCTGGATGGCCGGCCGTTCGGGAGGTTTTTCATGCGACCTAAGACCGACTGCAGGGCCAGAATTCATGGAACTGTTTTCGGCTACTTTGCCCGTGCAGTCGGTCAAAACTTCTAAGTCCCATATCTCCCGAACGGCTGAACCGAATGGACTGATTTTTTCATATGTTGGTCCCCTAGAATACAGCTATCTGTCCTTGTGGTACATACAGACTTTGGGGAAATTATGTTCCGTTTTAATTATGTTAAATGGTTATCTGAGGAGAGGAGATGTACAGTATGTATATTGTTATGCTTGGTTGTACAGTTAATTATATGGGAGGCTCCCTTGCATGGGCAGAATCCCATAAAAAGAGAATGCCTGTCAATAAATCCTTAGTTCATCTTTGTACCCTTCTTCTGACTACGTATGCTGTTTGGGAGTTTGTGTGTTTTACTGAGGGAATTATCCAGGGACACTATTGGAATTACACTGGGATTCGTCTACCATAACTACCGAACGGAGGGCTATATTCACTGGGCTCTGGCGGTTCGGGAGGAAACTACCGATTAAGGTTTAAATGCACTTGGTTTCCTTACAACTTGTCATACACTTACGGCACTATTTTTTCCTGCTTTTATAAAGAAGGAATGTGGTCCTTAATCACATATGCGACTTGATTTGAGCCTATTGGAAAGCTTCGGGTTTGTGAGTACCAAATTGCACTTTACTATTACCCATATAGAAGTCAATAATATCACACTATATATATGTTTCCTTTATGCCGATCACCTAGGACAGAAAAAATAATGGTTGAGATGGAAATCTCACAGGTTTGGAGTGGATAGTGTGGATATTAGATATTACTCTAACTGGAAAGAATAGGGTTCCCGCCAAATTACCTCAAAATGCAAGATAAGGATAGGATATTCGAGTAACTTTAATGATTATCCAGGAGTAGTGATGTCCCGAACGGTTCGCCGCGGACTCATCATTGAGTAAACCCTGTACCTCTCAGGCAGCAGACACATTCCAGCCAATCAGCAGCAGACCCTCCCTCCCAGACCCTCCCACCTCCTGGACAGCTCACTAAGAACGCAGCTTCACAATGAATGTAAAATGGATGCTGTCCAGGAGGTGGGATGGTCTGGGAGGGAGGGTCTGCTGCTGATTGGCAGGAATGTGTCGGCTGACTGTGAGATACAGGGTCAAAGTTTACTCAATGATGAGTCCGCGGCGAACCGTTCGGGACATCACTATCCAGGAGTAATTTAGGAAATATATGGCATATAATAAAAACTGATAGGATATACTTGAAAACAATATTAGTAAAAAGTGCAATGCTATTATGTGTAAAAATTTACAGTTGTTGCACCATATGCAGTCCTTGTTCAGCACAAATGTCAAAACTGCTGGTCAGTAAAATAAACTAGAATAAAAGTTCACAATAGTTGCAACT